GAGGCCTAGTGTGTGTGTGTGTGTGTGTGTGAGAGGGGAATGGGGGTCAAAACACACACATACAGGTGGCCACACAGTCATAAACTGCAGAGAGGAAGCAGATAAGTTGTGTAGTTTCCTAAAGAATGCACTGCCATCTATAAAGCACTGTAAAAGTAGGAAGTAATGTACCGTTGTGGTTGAAATTCTTCTAAAATGTAATGCTACTACAGTATTGCTTTTACCACTCTCAACACTAAATCAGGGGTAAAGGGGAAGACTAAAAGATATGATCATGGTAATTGAGATAAAGGAAGCTCTAGAAGTGAGAGGAAAGCAGCAGTTAGGGTGAATGATATGTGTATGGCATCGAGTAATATGGCAATGTCACAGCAGTCAGTGAAGTGTGTGTGTGTGTGTGTGTGTGTGTGTGTGTGTGTGTGTGTGTGTGTGTGTGTGTGTGTGTGTGTGTGTGTGTGTGTGTGTGTGTGTGTGTGTGTGTGTGTGTGTGTGTGTGTGTGTGTGTGTGTGTGTGTGTGTGTGTGTGTGTGTGTGTGTGTGTGTGTGTGTGTGTGTGTGTGTGTGTGTGTGTGTGTGTGTGTGTGTGTGTGTGTGTGTGTGTGTGTGTGTGTGTGTGTGTGTGCGTGCGTGCGCGTGCGTGCGTGCGTGCGTGCGTGCGTGCGTGCGTGTGTGTGTGCGCGTGCGTGTGCCGCGTGCGTGCGTGCGTGCGTGTGCGCATCCGTCCGTCCGTCTGTCTGTCCGTCCGTCCTTTATAAGTATTTATATGAAGAAGAAGATGTGCTGTGAATTAAATTGAATACAGCAATACTTTGAGACATTTTATGATGTGATCAAAGTTTTTACAGAAATTTGTATTATTTATACAGTATTTTGTACCGCCTTCATTATGGTTCAGTTTGATATAGTACATGTCTTTATTTGTCATTACGTTCCACCACATGATTATTACATCATCTAATCATCTGGTTCACACTGAGGTGTACAGAGTCTCCATGATATTGACTTCACCCAAATACTGTTTTATTTACCTTAGTCTCAATTGTTTCTTCTGTTATGATTCAGGAAAAAAAGTGGAGAAAAAGCGAGTTTTATAACAACCTGCATATTTTTGTCCACTGTCTTGTTGATGGCTCTAAAGATCTCGGTTAAATTTCACAGGGCGTTAGACACCCGCCTTAGAGAAGGTAGAGTACTGTACAGTATATACTAACTTGTGATAAGAGCCAGCAAGCAGACAGTGCCATTAGGGAACTTCATAATGGTATCTAAAAATGCAAATGAATCTTGTAAAACCTATTGATTGAGATGTGGTCCATTAACCAAGTCACTTGATGGATAACCTGCAATAGGAACATCACAGGAAGATATTTATGCAGTCTGACTCCATTGCTGATTTATAAATGTTTAAATAATCATTGGATAATACCATATAGGCTTTTGACAAACAGAGAGTTTATTTTGCAAGATTGAGCAACAAAATATTCCCACAAGTGGCAAGTACTGTACCCAGAATGACTGTGACTCCCACACCTGTACATTTATCAATCACTGTGGATATTTGTCCGGTTGTCGGTTAGGTCTTTTTTTTTTTTTTTAGACAATAACCAGAAGGAGTTGACAGAAATTGACAATCTCATGGAAACGTTAATTATCAACTATTAAATATATAAATGGACACGAGAATCCATTCAGTGTCGTCAGGTATGTTTTAAAGTTTTTGTCTGGTAAGTGAGGCAGATTACTTTAGGTTAGGTTGGTTAGGTCAAGTTCTAATTGGTTATGTGCATTCTCGTTTCCATTTATCTATTTAATATACGGTAATGTTAATTATGTTTCATCTAATTCTACCAACTTCTTGTAGTGTTAGTTTAAAAAAGCTTACCAAACCGACAACCGGACAAATATCTACAGCGTTTATTAATCATACATAATATAGTTTCATAAAAATAATACTTCTTTATTGAACAAATACCATGTTTATGTTTACCAATTGTTGTTCATCCCTCAGACATCAGATGTGAGTTGAAGTATTTCATTACGTCTTTTCTGGGCGTAATAATGGAGAGTTTTGAATCTTTATATTCTTTTTTTTCTTTTATCCTCTTTACCACGGATCGGCTCGTTAGCCGCTTGGGTGATCGGTTACGTCTCTGTTACGCACCGTTGGCAAGTACTGGGCATGCACCGGCTCCTGAATGTACCTGAACCTGCTCCAGTGTTGGTCAAGTCTGGTCTTGAAAGAGCTCACACTCGGTGCCGTCACAACAGTTTCTGGTAGATTGTTCCAAGAGTTCACAACTCTCACTCCGAATAAGTTTGCCCTCACAGTTTTCTGGACTTGTAGCTTTTTCAAACCTTGAGTTGTGACCCCTTGTGGGGTGGGCATCCGCCAGCTCAAGGTATGGACATTCGACCGAGTAGTGCCCCCTAAGACGTTTATACACATTGATTAGGTCGTCCCTCGCCTGTCTGTAGTATAAGCTACATAGTTGCAGGCGCTCTAATCTCTCTGTGTAACTGAGGTTCTGTAGAGCAGACACCAGTCTGGTGCCCCTCTTTTGGACAGTTTCAATTAATTGACAGTCCCTGGCATACCTCTGGGACCAGGTGGGGTGACAAAACTCCAGACGGGGAAGCACCTCACACTTGAAGATCATTACGAGCGAAAGACCATCCAGATATCTAAACGACCTTCTTATTAGACCTACTTGTTTCGTTGCCTGACTCACCCTCTCACAATGGTCCGAGAACCTAGGTTCATTTTCGACAAACACACCCAGGTCCATTTCAGATTCGGCCTCAATGCAGTCAATTCATCCTGTTGGGACATGTGATACACCTCCTTACTATTGGTATGACCCAGGTGCATCCTTTTGCACTTCTTGACATTGAATCTCAGCAGCCATTTCCTTGACCATTCTTGAAGCTCATAGAGATCTTTCTGCAGCTCTTCTTAATCTATTTGGTTCTTAATTTCCCTAAATAACTTGGCATAGTTCACAAACATTTATATGACGGAGTGTATAGCTTCTGGCATGTCATTAAAGAAACGGACAAACAACAACAGGCCCCATACACAGCCATGTGGCATCCCTCTTGTCACAGGTACACATGGCCATTTCGTACCATTAATCACCAGACACTGCTTACGTTCATACAGAAGTCTCCAATTCACGCTAGGACACTTCCCTGAATCTCATATCCTTCCACTTTAATTCTGAACCTTTCATGGGGTACGATCTCGAAAGCCTTGGCAAAATCTAGGTATATATTCTCGATTTTGCCACCCTGTTTCAGAATTTGAGTCCAGACATCTATTACCATGAGTAATTTTATTAAAGAGGAGCGTCCCACCAAAAAACCATGTTGGCAATCCTTTATAAGGTTGTTTCGTAGTCGATGTTTCAACATGGCATCTCTTATAATGGTCTCAAGTACTTTACACTATACTGGTCAGGCTCACTTGTCTTTTGTTATTTGTGGAGTGACGATCGCCCTTCTTGGAAATAGGACTCACATAAGCCATTTTCCAATCACTGGGGATCTTTTACTCTTCCAGGCGTTTACAGATCAGGATCTTCAGGGGCTCGGCAAGCTCGTTGCACAACTCTCTTAGCACTCTGGGATGCACCATGTTAGGGCCGGGACTCTTATGAACCTTTAGCATTGACAATTTATTTCTTATAACCTCATATGAGAACACCGGCTCCTGAATGTACCTGAACCTGCTCCAGTGTTGGTCAAATCTTGTCTTGATAGAGCTCACACTCGGTGTCGTCACAACACTTTCTGGTAAATTGTTCCAAGAGTTCACAACTCTCACTTTGAAAAAGTTTGCCCTCACAGTTTTCTGGGCTTGCGGCTTCTTCAATCTTGAGCTGTGACCCCTCGTGTGACGAACGTCCGCCAGCTCCAAGTAAGGACACTCGACTGAGCAGTGCCCCTTGAGATGCTTATACACCTCAATTAGGTCACCCCTTGCCCGTCTGTAGTATAAGCTAGGCAAGTTCAGTCGCTCCAATCTCTCAGGGTAGCTGAGGTGCCGAAGTGCAGGCACCAGTCTGGTGGCCCTCCTTTGAACATTTTCAACCAACTGACAGTCCCTAGCATATCTCGGGGACCAGACGGGGTGACAGTACTCCAGATGGGGAAGCACTTCACTCTTGAAGATCGTTATGAGGGACGGACTGTCTTGATATCTGAACGACCTTCTTATAAGACCCAATAATTTATTTACCTTCTCGCAATGGCCCGAGAACTTCAGCTCATTGTCAACATACACACCTAGGTCCTTCTCACATTCTATCTCAAATAGTGCAGTTTCTTCATCCCGTTGGGACATATGATACGCCTCCTTACCGTTGGTGCGCCCCAGGTGCATCCTCTTACACTTCGGGACATTGAATCTCAGCAGCCATTTCGTCGACCATTCTTGGAGCCCACAGAGATCCTTCTGCAGCTCTTCACAGTCCGCTTGGTTCTTGATTTCCCGAAATAACTTGGCGTCATCGGCAAACATTTGTATGGAGGAGTGTACAACGTCAGGCATGTCATTTATGAAACAAACAAACAATAGCGGGCCCAATACACTGCCCTGAGGTAACCCGCTTGTGACAGGTACGCTAGGACATTTCCCTGAATTCTGTACCCTTCCAGTTTGATTTTCAGCCTTTCGTGGGGTACACTGTCGAAAGCCTTGGCAAAATCTAGGTAAATATTGTCAATATTACCACCCTGTTCCATAATATGGGTCCAAATATCCAATACCTTGACCAATTGTGTTAAGCAGTTATATCCACTGTTATATTTGTTATTGCTCTTTAAATGCACTAATGCGCACTGCTTGTACCACTAGGATATGTATCTCTTTTCTTTCTTAATAATAAAATATATTAATATCACAGAGATTCAGTAGTAGCAGTTCAGAGTGGTTTTATACATACATCATCTTTACATTGTGTTTTGTATAATAGTGAGAGGATCGAATAATACCATCTCCATTACAGTATTATTTTTATTAATAAATACATATTACATACTGTACATTTTGTACATTTGTCAGGCTTATATACTATATGTGTTCATTATGATGAAAATTAATTCAATGAGTTATCAGACATGTGAGGTAGTGTGAATAACTAGCGGATGTATCTAGTCAACTTCCTCCACGGTGGGTCCTCGTTCTCTGGTGGCGTTGGCTTCTGTTGTCCCTTCACCTGGTGAAGATGACCCGTGGATCTTGGCAGCCACGGGTCTCCAGTGGTCCTCCAGTTTCTGAAGTTGGGTCTCCAGCTGTTCCTTGTTGGCCAGCTGGTTGTTGTCGAGCCAGGTGAGTGTGTGGTCGACGAGGTCGGTTACACCCTGCTTCTCCTCCTGCGTCAGTCTACTGGAGACGCCCTCCTCCCTCAGGCTGCTCTTCATACTCAGACACAACGACTCCAGGCGGTTCTTGGTCTCTACTCTCTCTCGCTGGCGACCGTCTTCCTCAGAATATTTCTCGGCTTCCTCTACCATTCTGTCAATTTCTTCCTTGCTCAGTCTTCCCTTGTCGTTGGTGATGGTGATCTTGTTGGCTTTGCCTGTCGACTTGTCCACGGCCGACACGTTCAGAATACCGTTGGCGTCGATGTCAAAAGTGACCTCAATTTGGGGAACGCCTCTTGGGGCAGGAGGAATACCTGTCAGGTCAAACTTGCCCAGCAGATTATTGTCCCTGGTCATAGCTCGTTCACCCTCAAACACTTGGATGAGGACGCCCGGTTGGTTGTCTGAGTACGTGGAGAAAGTCTGCGTCTGCTTGGTGGGGATGGTGGTGTTGCGTTTAATGAGAGGAGTCATGACACCGCCGGCTGTCTCGATGCCCAGGGACAAGGGCGCCACATCCAGCAGCAGCAGGTCCTTCACTCCGTCAGACTGGTTGCCACTTAGGATGGCGCCCTGGACGGCGGCACCGTAGGCCACCGCCTCATCTGGGTTGATGGATCTGTTCAGGTCTTTGCCGTTGAAGAAGTCCTGCAGGAGATTCTGCACCTTGGGGATGCGGGTGGAGCCTCCCACCAACACAATATCATGGATGAGACTCTTATCCAGCTTGGCGTCCCTCAGAGCCTTCTCTACTGGAGTCAGAGTCTTGCGGAACAGGTCGGAACACAACTCCTCGAACCTGGCTCGGGTGATGCTGGTGTAGAAGTCAATTCCTTCAAACAGTGAGTCTATCTCCACGTTGGCTTGTGAAGACGACGACAAGGTGCGTTTGGCTCGCTCACAGGCTGTTCTCAGACGTCGTAAAGCTCGCTTGTTGCCACTAATGTCCTTCTTGAACTTCCTGTGGAACTCTTGCGTGAAGTGACTCACCAAACGGTTGTCAAAATCTTCACCACCAAGATGGGTGTCCCCCGCCGTGGACTTGACCTCAAATATGCCGTCGTCAATACTTAAGACAGACACGTCGAAGGTTCCACCACCCAGGTCAAAGATGAGAACGTTACGTTCCTGGTTGTGTGTGGCAACAGACTTTTTGTCAAGACCGTAGGCGATGGCTGCCGCTGTGGGCTCGTTGATGATGCGAACAACGTTGAGGCCAGCGATGATGCCGGCATCTTTGGTGGCTTGGCGCTGTGAGTCATTAAAGTAGGCAGGAACTGTGATGACTGCATCTCTCACCTTGTGGCCCAGATAAGCCTCTGCCGTCTCCTTCATCTTGGTCAGAACCATGGACGAGATCTCCTCTGGGTTGAAAGTTTTTCTCTCGCCCTTGAAGTTAACAGCAATCTTGGGCTTGTCATTGTCACACACCACGTCGAAGGGCCAGTGTTTCTTGTCGTTTTGTACGGTGGTGTCGCTAAACTTGCGGCCGATAAGTCGTTTAGCGTCAAAGATGGTGTTGGTTGGGTTGATGGCCGCCTGGTTCTTGGCGGCGTCGCCAATCAGTCGCTCGGTTTCGGTGAAGGCGACGTAGGAGGGGGTGGTTCGATTGCCCTGGTCGTTGGCAATAATCTCCACCTTACCGTGTTGAAACACGCCCACGCACGAGTAAGTCGTGCCCAGGTCAATACCAATTACTGTTTCAGACATTATTTCTCTCTTCTTTATATTGCACTAATAAACAGTTGTACTCAACACGTTTAGGTATTATGTTGTAGTAAGATGTGAAGCGAAACTTGTTATTCCTTGTTGTTGCCTCTGCTATCACAACTTGTGGTCTGAGGCAGAGGCAGTCAGCGGGACGCTTTATACCTAGCCGATTGCTTCCTGTTGTATCTTGGATGTTCTCCGTGTTTCTGGAGTCTTCTCCTTAGCTCTCGAGTCTTCTCCACGTTTTCTCTGGTGCGTTATTTGTTAATGAAAACGATAAATATTCTTAGGGTAACTACACTATATTTTACAAATCTCAATATTTTTTTGTAATTTTTAATTTAGCACCAAAACAAATCACGATCCCGTGTATAATTCCTTTGGCGTTGGGGGTAAAATGTCAACAAAAAAGGCGTAGACCCTCGTAGGCTGACTGGGGGTACGTGACGAAGGCATTATGAAGTGTAACAGGCTAGACCTTCTGTCATACAGCTTAGACAAATGAAAGAAGTATATACACATTATTAAAGGTAACTGTATGCCTCTCATTAAAAATACATTTAAATCTTGATATAAACTCACTCAAGAATTTTGAGAATGCCTTAAACTGGCATTTTGTACATTATATACTACAGGTATTTAAACACAAAAAACATAATAAAAACAATTCGAGCTATACTTTTCTTTTATCCTCTTCACCAGTGATCGGATCGTTAGCCGCTTGAGCGATCGGTCACGTCTCTGTTACGCACTGTTGGCTGGTACTGGGCATGCACCGGCTCCTGAATGTACCTGAACCTGCTTCAGTATTGGTCAAGTCTGTTCTTGAAAGAGCTCACACTCGGTGCCATCACAACGCTCTCTGGCAGGTTGTTCACAATTCTCAGTCCGAAAAACTTTGCCCTCACAGTTTTTTGAACTTGTGACTTCACCAGCTCCAAGTATGGACCTTCGACGTAGTGCCCTCCGAGACGCTTATAAACACCAATTAGGTCGCCACTTGCCCGTCTGTAGTATAAGCTAGGCAGTTGCAAGCGTTCTAAACTCTCCCGGTAGCTGAGGTGCCGTAGTGTAGGCACCAGTCTGGTGGCCCTCCATTGGACAACCTGACAGTCTAGATATCTGATCGACCTTCTTATAAGACCTATTAGTTTGGTTGTTTGATTCACCTTCTTTTCACTATGGCCCGAGAGCTTCAGTTCATTGTCAACATACACACCCAGGTCCTTTTCACATTCGGTCTTTATTAACGCATCCTCTTGCATCAAGTGATATTGTATCTTAGCAGCCATTTCTTCGCCCACTCATGGAGCTGACAGAGATGTTTCTGCAGCTTTTTGCAGTCTGTTTGGTTCATAATTTCCCCAGAATAGTTTGGCATCATCCGCAAGCATTCGTATGGAGGAGAGTATAGCTTCTGTGTGACGTTTCCCTCGCAATTGACGTAACCTAACCTCCTAAAAGGGGGACTCCGTCCCCCGTTCCTGCTATTTATAAGTCGTTTGCAACAAAACATTCCCACAAGTGGCAAGTACTGTACCCAGAATGACCGAGACTCCCACACCTGTATATTTATTTATCACTGTGGATATTTGTCCGGTTGTCGGTTAGGTAATTTTTTTCGACTAACACCAGAAGGTGTTGACAGAATTTGACACCACCTCATGGAAACGTTAATTATCAACTATTAAATATATAAATGGACACGAGAATCCATTCAGTGTCGTCAGGTATGTTTTAAAGTTTTTGTCTGGTAAGTGAGGCAGATTACTTTAGGTTAGGTTGGTTAGGTCAAGTTCTAATTGGTTATGTGCATTCTCGTTTCCATTTATCTATTTAATATAATGTTAATAATGTTTCATCTAATTCTACCAACTTCTTGTAGTGTTAGTTTAAAAAAGCTTACCAAACCGCAACCGGACAAATATCTACAGCGTTTATTAATCATACATAATATAGTTTCATAAAAATAATACTTCTTTATTGAACAAATACCATGTTTATGTTTACCAATTGTTGTTCATCCCTCAGACATCAGATGTGAGTTGAAGTATTTCATTACGTCTTTTCTGGGCGTAATAATGGAGAGTTTTGAATCTTTATATTCTTTTTTTCTTTTATCCTCTTTACCACGGATCGGCTCGTTAGTCGCTTGGGTGATCGGTTACGTCTCTGTTACGCACTGTTGGCAAGTACTGGGCATGCACCGGCTCCTGAATGTACCTGAACCTGCTCCAGTGTTGGTCAAGTCTGGTCTTGAAAGAGCTCATACACGGTGCCGTCACAACAGTTTCTGGTAGATTGTTCCAAGAGTTCACAACTCTCACTCCGAAAAAGTTTGCCCTCACAGTTTTCTGGATTGCGGCTTCTTCAATCTTGAGCTGTGACCCTTTGTGGGGCGAGTGTCCGCTAGCTCCAAGTAAAGACACTCGTCTGAATAGTGCCCCTTGAGACGCTTATACACCTCAATTAGGTCACCCCTTGCCCGTCTGTAATAAAAGCTTGGCAAGTTCAGGTGCTCCAATCTCTCAGGGTAGCAGAGGTGCCGAAGTGCAGGCACCAGTCTGGTGGCCCTCCTTTGAAAATTTTCAACCAACTGACAGTCCCAAGCATATCTCGGGGACCAGGCAGGGTGACAGTACTCCAGATGGGGAAGCACTTCACTCTTGAAGATCGTTATGAGGGACGGACCGTCTAGATATCTGAACGACCTTCTTATAAGACCCAATAATTTATTTACCTTCTCGCAATGGCCCGAGAACTTCAGCTCATTGTCAACATACACACCTAGGTCCTTCTCACATTCTATCTCAAATAGTGCAGTTTCTTCATCCCGTTGGGACATATGATACGCCTCCTTACCGTTGGTGCGCCCCAGGTGCATCCTCATACACTTCGGGACATTGAATCTCAGCAGCCATTTCGTCGACCATTCTTGGAGCCCACAGAGATCCTTCTGCAGCTCTTCACAGTCCGCTTTGTTCTTGATTTCCCGAAATAACTTGGCGTCATCGGCAAACATTTGTATGGAGGAGTGTACAACGTCAGGCATGTCATTTATGAAACAAACAAACAATAGCGGGCCCAATACACTGCCCTGTGGTAACCCGCTTGTGACAGGTACGCTAGGACATTTCCCTGAATTCTGTACCCTTCCAGTTTGATTTTCAGCCTTTCGTGGGGTACACTGTCGAAAGCCTTGGCAAAATCTAGGTAAATATTGTCAATATTACCACCCTGTTCCATAATATGGGTCCAAATATCCAATACCTTGACCAATTGTGTTAAGCAGTTATATCCACTGTTATATTTGTTATTGCTCTTTAAATGCACTAATGCGCACTGCTTGTACCACTAGGATATGTATCTCTTTCTTTCTTAATAATAAAATATATTAATATCACAGAGATTCAGTAGTAGCAGTTCAGAGTGGTTTAATACATACATCATCTTTACATTGTGTTTTGTATAATAGTGAGAGGATCGAATAATACCATCTCCATTACAGTATTATTTTTATTAATAAATACATATTACATACTGTACATTTTGTACATTTGTCAGGCTTATATACTATATGTGTTCATTATGATGAAAATTAATTCAATGAGTTATCAGACATGTGAGGTAGTGTGAATAACTAGCGGATGTATCTAATCGACTTCCTCCACGGTGGGTCCTCGTTCTCTGGTGGCGTTGGCTTCTGTTGTCCCTTCACCTGGTGAAGATGACCCGTGGATCTTGGCAGCCACGGGTCTCCAGTGGTCCTCCAGTTTCTTAAGTTGGGTCTCCAGCTGTTCCTTGTTGGCCAGCTGGTTGTTGTCGAGCCAGGTGAGTGTGTGGTCGACGAGGTCGGTTACACCCTGCTTCTCCTCCTGCGTCAGTCTACTGGAGACGCCCTCCTCCTTCAGGCTGCTCTTCATACTCAGACACAACGACTCCAGGCGGTTCTTGGTCTCTACTCTCTCTCGCTGGCGACCGTCTTCCTCAGAATATTTCTCGGCTTCCTCTACCATTCTGTCAATTTCTTCCTTGCTCAGTCGACCCTTGTCGTTGGTGATGGTGATCTTGTTGGCTTTGCCTGTCGACTTGTCCACGGCCGACACGTTCAGAATACCGTTGGCGTCGATGTCAAAAGTGACCTCAATTTGGGGAACGCCTCTTGGGGCAGGAAGAATACCTGTCAGGTCAAACTTGCCCAGCAGATTATTGTCCCTGGTCATAGCTCGTTCACCCTCAAACACCTGGATGAGGACGCCCGGTTGGTTGTCTGAGTACGTGGAGAAAGTCTGCGTCTGCTTGGTGGGGATGGTGGTGTTGCGTTTAATGAGAGGAGTCATGACACCGCCGGCTGTCTCGATGCCCAGGGACAAGGGCGCCACATCCAGCAGCAGCAGGTCCTTCACTCCGTCAGACTGGTTGCCACTTAGGATGGCGCCCTGGACGGCGGCACCGTAGGCCACCGCCTCATCTGGGTTGATGGATCTGTTCAGGTCTTTGCCGTTGAAGAAGTCCTGCAGGAGATTCTGCACCTTGGGGATGCGGGTGGAGCCTCCCACCAACACAATATCATGGATGAGACTCTTATCCAGCTTGGCGTCCCTCAGAGCCTTCTCTACCGGAGTCAGAGTCTTGCGGAACAGGTCGGAACACAACTCCTCGAACCTGGCTCGGGTGATGCTGGTGTAGAAGTCAATTCCTTCAAACAGTGAGTCTATCTCCACGTTGGCTTGTGAAGACGACGACAAGGTGCGTTTGGCTCGCTCACAGGCTGTTCTCAGACGTCGTAAAGCTCGCTTGTTGCCACTAATGTCCTTCTTGAACTTCCTGTGGAACTCTTGCGTGAAGTGACTCACCAAACGGTTGTCAAAATCTTCACCACCAAGATGGGTGTCCCCCGCCGTGGACTTGACCTCAAATATGCCGTCGTCAATACTTAAGACAGACACGTCGAAGGTTCCACCACCCAGGTCAAAGATGAGAACGTTACGTTCCTGGTTGTGTGTGGCAACAGACTTTTTGTCAAGACCGTAGGCGATGGCTGCCGCTGTGGGCTCGTTGATGATCCGAACAACGTTGAGGCCAGCGATGATGCCGGCATCTTTGGTGGCTTGGC